CATCCCCACCCCACATTGGCACACTCTTCGCAGGCTTCGTGACCCCATTGGGAGTTCCACCTGAAGTCCCTGTGGCGGAACTCGCATGGCATCCCTGCCCCATTGTGGCACATTCCTCACACGTGTCGTGGCCCCATACGGAATTCCACCTAAGGTCCCACCAGTGGAGCTCGCATGGCATCCCCGCCCCATATTGGCACACCCCTCACACGATCCCGGAACTCCACCTAGAGTCCCAGTGGTGGAACTCGCATGGCATCCCAACCCCATTTTGGCACACCCCTCACACGCTTCGTGGCCCCATAGGGAGCTCCACCTCAGGTCCCTGTGGCGGAGCTCGCATGGCATCCCCGCCCCATATTGGCACACCCCTCACACGCTTCGTGGCCCTATAATGAGTTCCACCGGAAGTCCCTGTGGCGGAACTCGCATGGCATCCCCGCCCCATTGTGGCAACCCTCACACGCGTCGTGGCCCCGTAGGGAGTTCCACCTAAGGTCCCAGTGGCGGAACTGGCACGGCGGCGCCGCCCCATTTGGGCACACCCCTCACACGCTTCGAGGCTCCATAGGGAGCTTCACCACAAGCCCAAGTGGCAAAGTTCGCATGTCGGCGCCGCCCCATGTTGGTGCACCCCTCACACGGTTCGTGGCCCCATAGGGAGCTCCACCGGAGGCCCCAATGGCAGGGTTCGCATGGCGGCCCCGCCACATTGTGGCGCACCCCATCACACGCCTTGTGGCCCCATAGGGAGCTCCACCTGAGGTCCCAGTGGTGGAACTCGCATAGCGTCGCCGCCTCCCTCATAGGGAGTTCCACCCATGATCCCACTGGTGGAACTCGCATGGCGGCGCCGCCCCATTTTGGCACGCCCGAGAGGCCGTCCTGGGCTTCACCGAGTTTATCCCCGAGGCTTGACCTGAGGAGCGGCCCGCAGGAGCCTCGCCGTCTCTCGACGGTCTGACTGTTTGGCCTCGCGCCGCGGGCGACCCGCGCGCGTCGCTGGGACCCTGTCGGGGCGACCAGCGCGCGTCGCGGGAACTCCATGCTGCGCTCTGCCCACCGCCTCGGTCGCCCCGGGCGACGCTCTGCCCAGCAGCCAGAGCGTTGCCCGCTATCAACCAACCAGATAGCTCTCTCATTCTGCTCCGCGCAGCGGACGACCCGCGCGCGTCGCCGGGACCCCTTCGGGGCGACCGGCGTGCGTCGCGGGGACTCCGTGAGGCGCCGCGCCCGCAGCCTTGGACATTGTCGCGCACGGCCAGAAAGGCAGAAAAAGAACGGGAAGGAAGCGTGCGCGATCCTCGTGAGGGGCGTGCCGACATGGGCGTCGACATTTATGCAGGTAGAATCACGCGCGCGAAGACTCATTCACAATCAGACTCACTCGCGCTCAGACTCACCCGCACTCAGTCTCTCGCACACACACACACACACCTATCGTTTTCGTTCGCGTTGTGTGCCCCGCCACGGATGTCTGCACGCCCCTCGCACGGATCGTGGCCCCATAGGGAGCGCGGGCAAAGGTGATATTCACAATTGCGGTATTCACAACTGCATGTGGTTGGGTCCTTCGCCAAGCTAATTATTATACGTTTTTTTTGGCATGATCAGTACTATTATTACTATTGTTGCTAATGTCAAGGGTTTCCGTATTACTATAAATATTAATCATAACATCCGTAATGGCATTATAACTATTATGATCAGCATCAGCATCAAATTACTTTCAGTAGTACTAATAATAAGCAGAATAGTAGTCGCAGTGTTACTATTAGTGTCTCTCCCCCTGGGCCTGCTCCTCATCCTCGTCCTCATCGCCGTCCCCATCCTCATCCTCATCCTCTTTGTCAACCTCATCCCCTGCCTCCGCCCTCCGTTTCCCTCTCGGCGTCATCATCCGTTTCCTCGTCCTCTTCCTCCTCCCAATTTGCCGCCTGTAGAGAGCACTTGGGCCGTCTTGGGGCATGTTAACCAGCTTGGCCGTCTTTTGGGCAGCCTTGGCGACCTCTTGGGCCGCTTTGGTGCAATATGGGCACCTTGGGTTGTGTTGGCGCGTTGACAGGCGGAACAAGCAAAGCGGGCAAATGCTTGAGACCCTACTCCTTCTCCGATGAGGCGCGGCGAAAAGCATGCTCCCGGAAGGGCTTCTTGGTTGCGGCATTGTTGGGGCCATCGTGGAAGCCTCTGTTGGGCTATTGTTCGGAATGTCGAAGCTTATCTGGTTGGCAAAATTGGAGCTCCTCGGCCGCATGATGAGCCCTTTTAAGGATGTCGGGGCTCATTCGGGGGGCCGTCTTGGGGCCTCTTGGACCAGAGTGGCCGCATCTTGGGCCGCCTTGGCGCCCTCTTGGGGCGCTTTGGTGCAAGCTGGGGAGCGTTTTTGGCACTGCTGGAGCGTCGGCAAGCGAAACGAGCAACAACAGGAGACTGTTTGAAACCCGAATGCTTCTCCAATGACTTGCAGCGACAATCACGTTCCCGGAAAGGCTTCTGGGAAAACATGATGGTTGTGGCCGTGGGATTTCATTTCCTCGGCCTGGCGGCGACAGTCACGTTTCTGGAAGGCGTTCGGGGCACCTACTGAGTGCGCCCGTGCTGGGGCCATCGTGAAAGCCTATGTTGGGCCCTTTCGGGTTGTCGAGGCTCGTTTGGGTGGCAATCTTGGGGTTCCTCGGCCGCCTCTTGAGCCTTTGAAATGTGTCGAAGCTCATTCGGGGAGCCGTACAGGGGCCTCTTGGACCAGAGTGGCCGCATCTTGGGCCGCCTTGGCGCCCTCTTGGGGCGCTTTGTTGCAATATGGGGATCGTCTTGGGCAGTGCTGGAGCGCCGGCAAGCGGAACTAGCAACAACGTGACAATGCTTGAGACCCTACTCCTTCTCCGTGCGGCGAGAATCACGTTCCCGAAGGGCTTCTGGGGACATGATGGTTGCGACCGTGGGACTCATGTCCTCGAACTGGCGGCGCCAACCACGTTCCCGAAAGGTTTTCGGGGAACCTGATGGTTGCGGCCGTGTTGGAGCCCTTGCAGAGGCCTCTGTTGGGCCCTTTCAAAAGTGTCGGGGCTCATTTGGGGGGCCGTCTTGCTTGGACCAGAGGGGCCGCCCCTGGGCTGCCTTGCCGCCCTCTTAGGGCGCTTTGGTGCAAGCTGAGGAAAGTTTTTGGCACTGTTGGAGCGTCGGCAAGCGAAACGAGCAACAACAGGAGACTGTTTGAAACCCGAATGCTTCTCCAATGACTTGCAGCGACAATCACGTTCCCGGGGAGGCCTCTGGGAAGACATGATGGTTGTGGCCGTGGGATTTCACTTCCTCGGCCTGGCGGCGACAGTCACGTTTCTGGAAGGCGTTCGGGGCACCTGCTGATTGCGCCCGTGCTGGGGCCATCGTGAAAGCCTATGTTGGGCCCTTTCGGGTTGTCGAGGCTCGTTTGGGTGGCAATCTTGGGGTTCCTCGGCCGCCTCTTGAGCCTTTGAAATGTGTCGAAGCTCATTCGGGGAGCCGAACTGGGGCCTATCAGGCCATTGGCCGCCTCTTGGGCCGCCTTGGCGCCCTCTTGGGCCGCTTTGTTGCAATATGGGGATCGTCTTGGGCAGTGCCGGAGCGCCGGCAAGCGGAACTAGCAACAACGTGACAAGGCTTGAGACCCTACTCCTACGTTTCTGGAAGGCAACGACGCGGACCTCTCGCTCCGATGACCGGCGGCGACGCTCACGTTTCCGGAAAGCTCTCTCTCTCCGGGAGCCTGCTGGCTGCGGCCGTGTAGGGGGGCCCTCGCTGAGGCCTCCGTGGGGCCCTGTCGGGGCGTCGTAGTAGTAGTAGTGGTAGTAGTGCTGGTAGTAGTGGTAGTAGTACTATTACTAGTGGAAAGAACACTCGAAGACCTGGCTAGAAAAAGTAGCAGTAGTAGTCGTAGTCGTAGTAGTAGTACTAGTGGTCGTGAAAGTAGTAGAAGTGGTAGTAGTGGTCGTATTCATAAAGGTAGCTTGGGGTGTCGATGCTCGTTTTGGTGCCCTCTTGGAGTTTGTTGGTGCTCTCTCGCACGCTTCTTGTGCCGTCTCCCAGCGTCTGAAGCAGAGCAGACGACCACGCGAGAATCAGTGAAAAAACACTGGGAATCATCGATCTGTGCCCATCCCTCCCCATCGAGCCCGCCACTTCGAGTGCTGCTCTCGAAACAACTTGCTTTGAAAAGACAATTAGAATGTGCTTTGAAAAGACAATTAGAATGTACATAGTCGAACGACGCCGCCTCCGTGACACCGAAAGCTGAGCAGGGACCGACCGTCCCGGAATTCCTATAGGCCTACCACGAAATGTTCTTAGAACCCAAAACTGCTCCAAGAACCAGAAGCCATGCTCTCAGAACCTGAACCTGACGTGTTGAACAAAAAAACGTCCCGGCCGGAAATGGTCTGAGAGCGCCTCGTGCAGGCCTCAGAAGGCCACCAGGATATTCCTCGGTACACCCTGCGAGATGCTTAAGAAATCATGGGTTAAGAAATTCATAGTCTCAGAAATTGAGGAAAACCCAGAACTTCTGTCAAAATCTTGGGATTTACATTGAAAAATTAAGAATAATCGAGACTCTGGCCGAAAACTTAAGTTTTCTTAAGCATCGCCTAAGGTGTAGGCCTCAGGAGGCGAGCCGGGACGCCGTCGCCGCTGCTCGAGAGAGAGACGGCACCGTGCGCCTCTCCGGCGTCGGCAGGGCGGGCCCTCGGATCGGAGCGCCGACCGCCGCGCGGGCGCGCCGAGGGAGCGGCCGCGCGGCTGGCAGCGAGGGGCAACAGCTTTGGCCACCTCCACACCATCCTAAGGTCGAGCATGTCCGCCTACAGGGGAAATGTTGGCCAAAAAAAATAGAGATACCACAAAAACGATTCAAAAATAGTCAAGCATGCTTACAAAGGTGGCCCCCGGACTATTTCGGGACTGTTTTTGCATATTCCTCCTGTAGAGGGACAGGCCCGACTTAACACCACCTCCTCCACCCCCCTTCACACGACCAGGTTGGCCAGCGCCTCAGTGGCCTCTCTGAGGCGCCGCGCGGAGGGGTTTTCCTCGAAGTGGCTCTTGTTGGTGTTGTTCTTGCCGACCTGTGCGCAGGAGTTTTCAAAATCCATGGCGCTCGCCGACACGATTGTCAGACTCGTGATCACGTTGATGATGCCTCCGGCGCAAGCGGCGCTGTAGCTCTTCGTCTCGGCGCACTTGGCGGCAGAGAAAGACAGGAAAGAGGCAACGTAGGCGAACGACGAGATCAAGTGGAGCACGTTGACGGCACAGATCCGCTGTGCATGCTTCTTGTCTGCGACGGTGATGTTGAAGATCGGCGACTTCCCAAGCGCGCCGAGCCTGCGTGCGTCCTCCTCTCCCTCCGGCAAATTATTCTCCGCCTCGTCCAAATACTCCTGGGCGGCCTTCAGAGATTTCTCCTTCAAGCTCGTCGCGACTTTGTTCACCGAACCCAGACTTCCAACTTCCTTCCCGTCCGACTTCATAGCCTGCTCCTTCTCATATGTGTACTCGACCCGCTCTGTCTCCTTGCACGTATAGATCACCTCCTCGATGAGGGCGCCCGCGCGCGCCAAGAACATCGCAGCCTGCAGCACGTCGAACACGCACATCCCGATGGCGATGTTCTTCTCCTCCTGCGACTTCTCCTTGGCTGCGGCGAGAAGCCTCGCGTCCTCCGCCGAGGGCACCAGGGCCAGCGAGAGGTTGCTGCCGAGGCGCCTCCCGTCGGCGTCGACGGCGTTCTCCTTGTCGTACTTGTTGTAGTCCGCCCCTCCCTTGCAGTTGGCGGCCATCCCGGAGCCCGCCTCCGCCATGAGCGAGAGGCCGGTGATCATGTCCGTGACGTCCTGAGCGCAGTACGACTGGAAGTTGATCGACTCGGCGCACTGGGAGGCGGCGCCCGACAGGAACACGGCGACGTGGCCGAAGGTGGTGATGATGAAGGTGATGGTCTCCGCGCAGGCGGCCTCCTCTGGGGGCAGGCAAAGCGGGATGACCACGCACTTTCGGAGCTCCGCGCGGACTTCTCGGATCTACGCTGGGGGGCCCCTGGCGGCGCCTACGGCGCCAGCCCTGGGCGCGCTCAGCGCGCCAAAACGTGGGGGGGGCCAGCGCCGATCCAAGAGGTCCGCGCAAAGCTCCGAGAGATTGCGCTTCCGGTCGGGAACTTTTGCTCAGCGCGTCGCGGCGGCGGCCCAAGCGACACGCTGCGCCCTTTTCGAGTGGATGGCGTGGCGCTCCGCGCTGCGAGGCAGGAGGCTGGGACAGGCCAGGGGCATGGACGCCTGGAGACGAGGACGTGGACAGCGTGCCTCGCCGAAGCGTGGCGGGCCAGAACTGGCGGCGCGACGCGCGAAGCCAAAATATTCCTGACCGCCCGCCGTGGTTTGGCTCTCGACTCCTTGCCCTTGGGCACCCTGTACTTGCCCGTCGCGGGGTCCTTCTTCGGCTTGCAGGAATGCGTCGCCTCGGTGATGCCCACGCCGGCCTGCCCGAGGGACACCGCCGCCTGGATGGCGTCGATGACGCAGAACGCGAGCTGCAGCTCCTTCTTGTCCTCCTTCTTCTCCGCCTTCATCTCCTTGTACTCCGACTTGTTCAGCACGTCCTCCAGTTCCGATGCGAGGCTGGCTACGTCGACATTGTCATACTCCGCCGCTCCGGCGACACCTGCGCCGAGCGCCAGCAACAGGGCGAGTGCCCTGACAGCCATGGTCTGGCAACGACGGGTCGACTGGAGATCCTCTGAAAGGCAAAAGACTGGAACCAGACTTGCTTGAACGAAAACTGCTTGAGCAAAAATGGCTTCGGTGGGGGCAGCGTTGAGCCCTCTTGGGCGATCTTGGGCGCCTCTTGGGCCATCTTGGCGCCCTCTTGGGTTGTGTTGGGGCCCTCGTTGACGCCTATTGCGCCGGCTCTGGGCGTCGGGCATCGGAGCAGGTGACCACACGAAATCCATTGAAAACATTAGGAAATCAATGATGTTTGCCCCTTGCGCCTCTCTCGGAGAGCAGTTTGAAGCTCTCTGTATTGGAGGCCACGTGGGCCGCCTCGAAGCAGCGGTAGGCGAGCTGGAGTCGTTTTGGTGTCCTCTGGGCCCCCGTGAGGGCCCTTTTGGCGGGTCTAGGCTCGTTTGGCCCCCCATGCGGCACTGAGGCACCGGTCTGGCCCCCGCCCCCCCTGGGGCCTACTCAGATCAGAATTAAGGGCCGAACGGGCTTACAGTCCCCGGGTGCGTGGCTAAAAGTGGGTTCCCACAGTGCGGATTCTTGCTGTTTTGTTTTTGTTGTTGTCGTCGTCCCACCCGCGATCCACCCCGCGACTCACCCGCGACCCACCCCGCGACCCACCTGCGACCCACCTCGCGACCCTAGTTTAGAGCGTTTCTTCTTCCAACCTCCCGCGAGAAAGCAAAAAACAATGAACAATTTGACTGGAAAGGCTTTGGCCACATTTTGGCCTCTTGGAGAGGTCTCGATTCCCTCCAAGATGGCCACAAGATGGCCCCCGAGGCTCCCAAGGGTGCCCCAAGACGACCCCAAGTGGTGCCCAGTAGGCCCCAAGAGGCCCCCAAGAGGCCCCCAGGAGACCCCCAAGACCCCCAAGAGACCCCAAGAGGCCCCAAGAGGCCCAACAGATGCACCCAAGACGCCCCGAGAGGGCCCTGGGACTGCCCAGGGACCCCCAAGATGCCCCAAGAGGCATCCAAGGGGCATCTGGCCTTTTTGCTCGCCCTCCTCCGCTCCTTTCCTTCTAAATAACTCCTCCGTGCCGCACCCCGAGGCCAGTCGGAAGGGCGGGCCAGGCGCTTCGCCTGAGAATCCCTTTCACATTTATGATCATGAAGCTTGAGATTGGGAACAGTTTCAAAATGGAGGGCTGGCTGCTTTTTAAATGTCGCTCTCGCCTTAGCGCCGCGCACAATCCTCTTAAGAAGTTGCAAAACCTGGAAGATTGAGAGCGGGCCGTTTTCAAAATGTGGCAGCCGCGCACGTTCGTTGCAGACATGCGCAAAAGCTGCACGGATTGAGGGCGGCTCCTTTTCAAAATGTGATGATCGCCTCAGCGATGTGCATATTCGTATTAAACAATTGCAAGACTTTCACGGGTCCCCATAGTCAACGTACCAGAAATTTTGTTATTAAGATATTGAAAATATCAGCCAGCGTTGACTCAACATAGATTAGACGACTCAAATCAAGGAATCGGAGGAATCAAGCATGCTTGGAATCCGCCACTCAGCAAGCAAGCAAGCGTGCAAGCAAGCGCGCAAGCAAGCGCGCAAGCAAGCAAGCAAGCAAGCAAGCAAGCAAGCAAGCGAGCAAGCGTGCAAGCGCGCCAAAAAGCAAGCAAGCAAGCAAGCAGGCACAGGCACAGGCATAGGCGTAGGCATAGGAGTTAGGGTGGGGGCATAGGCATAGGCATAGCCATAGGAGGGGCAACGGACCAATTAGTAGGGTTTGAGCCAGGGCTCCTATGGGGCAAGCCTATATGGAGGATGTCAGGGTTGACAGGGCGCAACAGTAACGTTGCTTCGCGGTGCTGAAGTCCCAGGAATGGTGCTCTGGCACAATTCAGGATCTTCAAGACGCAACAGCCAAGTTCACTCGTGGCATTGAAGTTCCGAGAATTGTGTTTTGGCACGCAACGGGGCACTTCCCTGAGTGGAAATGAACCCTTGTAGGGGCATATGAAGAGGGAGCGTGGAAGGAGGGTTCATTCCAACATCGTTGATGCGTCTTGGGTTTACACTGGTCAGTATCCTCCTCATCATCCTCATCCTGTTCCGTATCCGCCTATTCCTCCTCTTCCCCCCCCCCCTCCCTGCTCCTCCACCTCCTCTTTCTCCAGTTCCTCCTTCACCCTCCCCCTCTTGGGGTATCACGTCTTATTCAGTCCACTATTCCACTGTATGCTCATCGACATATCTGATAAGGGCAACTCGCCTGGGCATCGTGTCTGGATGGACTGGTGGGTTACGCAAAGCGTCTGGAAGCGCAACGCTGCCACGCTGCTTTGTAGCCTGGATCATTGCGCCGTCGATAGCTCCTCCTCCTCCTCCACCTCATCCTCCAGCCGCGTTCCCTCTTCGTCCCTCATCCTGCGTGACCATCCTCTCTCCTCCTCCTCCTCCTCCTCCTCCTCCTCCTCCCCCTCCTCCTCCTCCTCCTCCTCCTCCTCCTCCTCCTGCTTCTTCTCCGTAGCCATTTTGGCTCAAGATGGTTGCACTCAGGGGGCTCCGCGCCTCCGTGCCAAAGTGGAAGCTGCTAGTCCGCAGCCAGTTCTCAATTGCTTTCAGGAACCTGATCACCACAGGTTTCCTACTACATATTCTTGCTTCATGGGGAAAGGAGGGCGTCAGCAGTATAAGTCTTGGCAGAGCAGAGCGCCGTGGTATCAATCTTCGACCACGGCAGGCGCAAGTATGTCTCTCAGCGACCAGTGGCCCAGTCTTGGGAATGGTAGCTCGAACGCATACGGCAATTACACGATGCAGCCTTGGCGACCAGCGACCCCTCGAGCGGATCTTCGACAGAACATCTCGCAGCGCATTGCTCTTCCCAAGCTTGGACGAGATGCGACCTGGTGCAAAGTCTGTGGGAAGTTCTGCTACAATGACCTGCTGGAGAAATTCGACTACACCTGCCAATACTGCGGTTGTTTCCTCAAAGGACGTAAGCCCACAGGAACAGGAGGTGGGGCACCGCAACCAGCAGATGCTCTTCACGGATCTGGGATTTCGGACGGGGACAAGGCGGCCTTGGAGCGCATCATCGCTAAGGGAGGCGCAGCAGCTGAGCAGGCAAAGCTACTTCGTGATACCTTGGTCAATCAAATTCCCGCTGCTGCACCACCGAAGCCTGCATCCGCCAGGCCCACGGAGGCGACGCAGAAGGTTGAGCGGGCCGAGGCCAGCATGGACAAGGTGGCAAAGCGTGTTCTCCGTCTCGAGCAAGAGCTGGGAGAAGCCATGGGATTCTACCGAGATTGTGCGAGCAACTTGGCAGATGCTACTGTGGCGCAGGAGCTCGTGGCCAAGGAGCTGGCGCCTGTCCCGCCTTCGTCTCCATCTGAGTTGGGGAAGCTGGACGTCCGTCAGTTCTTGGACCAAAAGGCGGAGCTCAACCTCAGCTTCGGGGGGCTCTTCGATGACGTGGACCTTGAGGATAGCGATCGCGAAGAGTTCGAGCGGCGCAAAAGCAATTTCGAGACGGAGTCCCGTGCGGCTTTGGACTCGCAGTTCCGCAAGGTGGTGGAAAATTTGGCCTCGCAGCAGCAGAAGAAGGTGGAGGAGATCGGATCTTGGCAACAGGCCAAGAAGCGCAAGTCCAGTTCGTGCCCGCCTGCCTCGGCGGCCAATCCAGGCGAAGGAGGATCAGTTGAAGCAGGTGGCGCTGAGGCAACGGCGGCTACTTCAGCCACAGGCCCTGCGGTGGGGGCCACTCCCTCCACACCTACGGCACCGACTCAGACAGCGGCGGCTGGAAAATCTCCCTGGGCGAGTGTCTCTCCTTTGGTCGACGGCAAGCAGACGGAGCTCCGCACCATCATGGACGAAGCGCTGGCCAGGAAGAGGGCAGGTGCAGTTGGCAGACAGTCGACAGTTTAGCAGCCCACCCTCGGCAGATCCCTGGCTCCCGCCCCGCCCTGGGCAGGTAGCAGCGCAGGGGGAGGCCAGTGAAGAGGGCACGTCGGGCAGATCTACTACAAGTACGGCATCAACTTGGACTTCCAGGAGGTTATTCCAGGGGGTGGCCCCTCCTGGGACCCCTGGCCTGGATTTCGGCGGCACGAGTTTATTGCAGGGGGGGGCTCCTTTCGAGACCCCTGTCAC